GGGGGGGGAAAGAAAGTAAGCTTTTTCGGGCTATTTCTCCCGTGAAACGTCCTAATGCTGGTGGGAACGCGGCTCTCGTGTATGGCAAGAGCCGCTCTGCGATTTAAACGTCAGCTCAAATGTCGGCGTCCTCTGGTTCTTGTCAATCCGTTTCCTGCGCCAGGCTTGATCTCGTTAAACTATTCCTGCTAGTTTAGCCATAAAGCAATAACGATGTTTAATATTAAACTGACAGTGCAGCTCGAATAAGCTGATGCATATTCATGTTTGGGAGGCAACTTCGTTCCTCAGTCATGACTCATCAAATGTAAAATCAGGCACGTTAGCTTCTAATTAAAAAGGCTATTCACCCGCTGCAGACCAGAGTGGCTTTCACAATAAACTAAGCACTAGGGTTTTTTGGAAGCTTCAGCTGCCTGAGCAATATTTTGACTTGAGTTTGGAGAATAATCGAATGACACTTGAAAGACACGCCTTTGTGTTAAAGCTTCAGCTGACTTCAAATTCCTAGAGTTCCTACTGGTTGCTAAATATCAGCTGTTTGCGCTTCTGAAGCCTTAATGAAATACTGAACAAAAGATGAGCGTCACTATTAGACTGCTGCACTTGAGTTTTAATAGGTTAGCGAAAGACGGCGTGGTGAAAAGCCAGGCGCGGTGCAGCGTCAGATGTTCCGTCGTTTATTACCGCTTGGCTCCATGAAAGAGAAGAGACTTGGTGTCGAAGCTGCTGAAAAGGATGTTGCCACTAGCAACTTCAAACACTAAATACTAAGGGCTGTAATTCTGACCGGCGGCACTGGCAGACCCTGTATTTAGGTCTGACTAATCTGAAACAAGTAACCCAAAAGGCAGTGACTTTGTTTATTAGACACGCAAGCGCCCTTGTTGTAGGAGGTGGGAAACAGCAGGTCGGTGCGCAGGTAGGTTTTGTTAGTGGCTGGCTGTCAGAATCAATTATCTGAACCACGCTTAGCATGAGCTGCTGTTTTGGGAAACAGGTCAGTAGCTGTCTAACCCTTTAAATAGCTAACCCTCTGGGGAAAATGCATTCCTGAACCCACTAGCTGCAGTGAGGGTGTAGACTTCAGGTGTGTTTCAGGTTGAGACTAGTATGCTGAAGCCTGCCATGCCCTCACGGGCCCTGTAGGATCTGCGGAGAGGACATCCTCGCTAAGAAGTGAGGCTGTCTGCTCTCTGTTGCTCTCCAGACTGGAGCTTCTTGGCTGACTTGGCTTGGGACAAGGCTGACTCAAGGGGTTGCGTTGTTACCTCTTCTGAATAGTCACTGCTCACCTGGGCTGGACCTGTAAGCCCAGAGCTCAGGGAGCTTCAGTGTTGGGTTGCAAGCCTGAAGCTTGTGGTCTAAAATGCTGTAGTTCCTGAGCTAAGCCCAAGATGGGATTAAGTAGGCATTTCTTGGACGTCGCTATGAAATTGATCTGGAATGGGATCTTATCTGAATGGTAGTCCTAACTCTGCATCTAACGCATGCATGACCTATATCCCGTTTCACGCTAAGCCTGGTAGCATAAAACTCTTACTTCCACAAGTAACAGTGTGTAGAGCTGTGCCTCCTGTGGGTAACTTCAGCCAGGAGACTGCACTAACTGATCAGTTGGCAGTAGCTCTGCTGTAACTTCATCCAAAGGAGTGTCAAGTGTGGCTTGTCTGATATTCTTGTGCTGTACATGAAAATAACCCCTTGTCTTGTTCTGAAAGCCAAATTTACTGCTAAGTTACCTAGGTGCACTTGAAGATAGATATGTCTGTGACCGGATTGGATCTGCTGGTGGGGACTTGGGACTTCCGATGGTGAATAGCTCACTGGTTAACTGTTGCCTGACATGTGACTATCGCCATTTGGTTGGCAAGGAGCCCAGCCACACTTCTAGCTTGAGCAGCAATTGCTAGCGTCGAGGAGTAGTTGAGAAATGCCACTGGAGAAGCTGCATCATGAAATTGTAACAAACTCCTGAACTTATGATTTAACAAGCTTTAAAACATTCCTACAGTTGTACCAAAATATCTTCCCTTTGCAAGGGCACCTCAGGGTCAGTAGAAGCTAGCTGACACACAGCCTATCTTAGCTTTGCCACTGAGCGACTTGTAACAGGGAAAGGATTGCATTTTGGAGTCCTTCACCTTTGTATGCATTGCTGCTTCTAAACAAAACTCATGGAGGAGGGCAGTTTTACAACTGCCTAGTCTTCTTGTAAGGCTGCAAAAGCTCTTGGGGAGCTGCCTGATCAGAACAGGGCCATGTCAACAGAACGAGGGTTTCAGCCCCTCTGATACGGTTCTGTATTTTTGTGGGACCTCTCTTGAACTGGGATGGCCTTGCAGGACTCCTAAAGCGGGCCTGATGGGGCTACTCAGTGATATAACTTGTCTATTTGGACCCCAAGGTTTGGCTTTTTCAGCCTTGCTTCAAACACCAGATGAGCAGGCTGGCTAGCTAAGTTTTACAGGACTTTTTATGGGAGTAGGTAATTGCTGGAGAGACATGAAAGCAGGAGGAAGGACAGGTTGAGCTTCTGGTGGAAGAGGTTAACGTAATCTTCCTGAGATCTTTGAGCTCAGTTAAACTCAAATTACAAGCTAATGTCCAGATGAGTTTATTTTATGGTCTTAAAGTTATTTTAGCCTCCTGCATGTTAAGTAATCGGGCAAGTGATTCAGCTTCATACTAAGTGAACAAAGCTTTGGAGGTGGTGGTGGGTGTGTCAGGACTGAGCAGGCAGCATTAAAATCCCTGAAGTAACACCCGTGAGATGAAAGGTGCCTCTTGTGCTTGATAGTATGCCAAGTTCAGCGCAAAGCTCTGACACACTGGAAATTGTTAGGGTACACTTACTAGTTAAGACATGAACTTGTATGTGCCTGGCTCAGGCTTTTGAGCAGTCTGGCATCTTGATTTGCTTTTAATGAAGCTTGACAGGCAAAGGGGACAACTAAAATGAGTGAGCCACCCTGATTAAATCAACAGGGACTGTTGCAGACTGCTGCCGCCTTGTATTTAGAGTCCTCTTTGGATCAGCTGGCCTTAAGATTAATGCCCTAGAATGACTGTGTGCATCTTCCCTGGGTAAACCGAGAAGTAGGGAGGAAGGGAGCAGGGACCAAAGACTCAATTCAGATAACTGTTTGGCTTCGGTGAGGAGAAGTAGGGGGACAGCAAACCACTGTACTGGGAGTGGAAATGCAGCTACTGGTGTGCGGTAAGAGCCCCCTAATACGAAGGAGTAAGTAAATGAGATGCCTTCTAGCTGCTGGCAAGACTGGATGCCTTCCAAAGTGACCTATTTCTAATGGATTAGCTTTTTGTTTCACTGGTCTTGCACTGGAGTGACCCATATAAGCACAGGGAGCAAATCCTGCTGCTGTAACCGATCTGTTTCGTGAGTGCTTTCTTGCTTCTCACACTGAAACTCTCTTCATACCAGGTTGTCCGTAGCCGTCTGGAGAAGAAAGGAATTGCAGTCCATAATGTAAGGCTGAATGGCTCAGCAGCTAGCCATGTTCTCCATCAAGACAGTGGCTTGGGGTACAAAGACCTAGATCTCATCTTTGGTGTAGATCTGAAGACTGAAGATGTCTTCCAGCTCGTTAAAGATGTGGTCATGGACTGCCTTCTTGACTTCCTCCCAGAAGGTGTCAACAAAGACAAGATCACCCCTATGACTCTGAAAGAGGCCTATGTGCAGAAGCTGGTGAAAGTATGTAATGAAACCGACCGCTGGAGCCTTATATCGCTCTCCAACAACAGCGGGAAGAACGTGGAACTCAAATTTGTGGACTCCCTCAGACGGCAGTTTGAGTTCAGTGTGGACTCCTTCCAGATCATCCTGGATTCGCTCTTGCTGTTTGGGGAGTGTTCAGAGAACCCCATGGCGGAGAACTTCCACCCCACGGTCACTGGGGAAAGCATGTATGGGGACTTTGAGGAGGCAATGGACCATCTCCGGAACAGGGTCATCGCCACGAGGAACCCTGAGGAGATCAGAGGTGGGGGGCTTCTGAAATATTGCAACCTCTTGGTGAGGGGGTTTAAGCCTAAATCAGAAGTGGATATGAAGGCGCTACAGAGATACATGTGCTCCAGGTTTTTCATAGACTTTTCTGACATCAGTGAGCAGCAGAGGAAGCTGGAATGCTACCTTCAGAGCCACTTTGTTGGGATGGAGAGCAAAAGATATGACTATCTGATGACCCTACACAGGGTGGTCAATGAGAGTACAGTCTGCCTTATGGGACACGAAAGGAGGCAGACCCTGAACCTCATTGCCATGCTGGCTGTGAGAGTCCTGGCTGAGCAGAACATCATCCCCACAGTCACAAATGTTACCTGCTTCTATCAGCCAGCTCCTTATGTCAGCGAAATAAACTTCAACTACTACGTCACCCACGTGCAGCCCTTCCTGCCTTGCAATCAGTCCTACCCCACATGGCTTCCCTGTAACTGAGCCAGGACAAACTTCAGGGTCTGTCCTCCAAGGTATTTTCTTGCCTTGGGGAGCAGGGGGGAGGGAACCTTCCCAGAACTGCAACAAAAGGAAACTTCCTGGACTCTTGCTGCAGTGTCTCGTTCCTGGGATTCTTGGAATGAGGCCTGTCTGCTGTACACTGTGATTGGATGTGCAGTGTTATGGAAACTAGATTACTTGGACGTTTACAGGAAGACTTGATCGCTTATTGAGTTCTGTAGGCAATGGGGGGAGGGTGGGTGTGTGTGTAAGGGGAGATTGTAGAATTACATTAAGGTAGAGCTGCACTGCCCTGAAATGGATCTGATTTTTTTTTTAGTGCAGGAGGTGTTATGTGTGTGCAGACTTGTGGTTTCTGAAGATAGAAGCCAGAGTGGCTAATTCCTTTGAAGGACCAAAGAATCCTGTTTAAGTGCCTGTAACAATATAAACACAACTGTACTGTAAACCTTCTTTTGCAGGGGTTGACATCCCAAGAGCTTGAGTGGGGATGTCTCAAGACGAACATGTTCTGTTTTGGGGGGGAGGGTCGTAAGATCATTTCTAGTAACCTCGCTGAAGCAAGAATGGGACTGCAGGTTACATGTTGCTGAGGTTTTTGGCATGGCTTGCTGCCTATGAAGGACCAGCTGTAGCAAATAGCTGTCAAAGCTGAGTTGCATAAAACAGGCGGGGTTTGAATGACTACATGTAAATGCCTGAAACTGGGGACACGGGGTAGGGGGGGAAGTGCATGGTAGAGAATGCTGTGCAGAGCTTTATGGAGAAAAGGCAGCAGGGACCTACACATGAACTTATTAAAGCTCCCAAGTCTGCAGTGCCAAGATGTAATGATGTACATAAATGATAAGGCAGAAGATCTGTCCAGGGGCCTGCCCTAGGCTACTGTACATAACTGTATTTTCTAGGGGAATTTGAAATGCTGCTTTTTTTGGCATGCAGTGTGGTTTTAATGCACAAGCCAGAAGCTGGCTGGGTTGTCTGGGAAGATGAGGCTTGTCCTTGAAGCACAAACCAACTAGTTAACTAGTCGGTTATCCCCGGCAGTTGCTGTGATGGGGCCTGGAGCTTGTGTTCTTCGAAGGGAGATTTGCAGAACTTCTTGAGGCTCCAGCCTCCTGTGGCCTGAAGTCTTCCCTCTGCCCCTGGGCAGGTCCTGTCTTCAAAAGCAGCCTATTTCCAGCTATGTGATTCCACATGTGCACAACAGATAGCGTTTTAAATTCATTCTCTAGTTAGAAAAGGACCTTGTGGGGTTTTGTGCGAAAGTCAGTTGGCCTTAGGAAAAAGTATGTCTTCTCCAAACAAACCCTCTTGTGTGCCGAGGGTTCTGGTTATCTTAGTCAAACATGACTTTGAAGTTGTTGGGTGTCTAGAGCACAAACAGTCCTTCACTGAGATGCCTGGACTGCAATGCCCATTCTCATGGAACATCATCTCAGATTTAACTATGCATGGTTGCGGAGATGGGAGAGCAAACAGGCACTTCCTAGATATGCTGCTCTGGGAACACTATGGCTTCATGGTGCTTCCTCCAAGGCTAACGTACTTGAGTATCTTTACTAACTTGTTTTTGTTTTTGTGACAAAACTGTAATAGCTGGGCAGACTGAACACTCTAATAAAGACTAGCTACTTGGAATGTGTATAGCCAGAATGCTACCTTTTTTGGGGTAGGGGTGATGTGGAGTGGGCATAAGGGGTGGGGGGGAAGGATCTGGGGGCTTTTGCACATAATGTAAACTAACCAATTTTAAATTGGTCTGGCTTTGCTTCCAATGCAGTAAGAGCTGAAGAGGAAGCATCACTAACGCTGTAGTTGTTACAGATTTAACAATGACTTCCCATAGGATGGCTTTGCCTTCACAGACAAGGCTTGCATGTAGACTCCACGGCAGTCCAGTAACTCCTTGGTGCCCAGAGCCTGCTCCTTGTGATGGGAGTTTGAGACTTTTCAGTGCAAGGTAAAAACTGGTTTAAGGGCTGCTTTTGAGGTACTAAGTATGCCACCTTCATGGCTTCAAGGGAAGATTTTTTTCTTACATTTTAAACTTCAGATCTACATAGATGACATGTAGCATGCTTTTTTACAGGCTTCTTACTCTGTACCCACAAACACATAGCTGCACTAAGCTGAGATTCCCTCCCTCCTGTTTAAGATGTAAAGATTCCCTGCAGCCAACAGCTTGGTAGGGCAATTTAAGTTGAGATTGCACTTTTGATTTATGGAGTGTGTATGGTGGGACTCTTGTGAATGAGTTGAATCTGAATTTTCTAGGTCTTGCAGTGATACTGTGCTGCCTCCTGTGAGGGAGAAATTGGAGAATTCCAGTGGCTTGAATGGCACTTGATTTTGTTTTAATGTTTTTTCCTACACCTGTATCACTTGTCATGCGATGGGCTTGACATAGACTCACTAGATTCTTTAGAATCTGTTACAAATAAATACAGTGTATTCAAATTTGTTGGATTTTTATTTACTTGCCTATCAGGGTAGGGTGGTGTTAAGATTTTCGCCCCTACTCCCAGGAAGAACCAGGCTCTGAACCAACTGGTTGCCTTGAGAGAAGAACAGGCTGTTCTGCGCAGGCGTGCTGGGCTCCTGCTTCTTGATCTGTCCAAAGACTACTTGTACTTCAGGCTGCTTAGTCCCTAAAACTGAAGCAGCTATAAAGCCTTGCAGTGCGTAGCTGTTGGCAGGTTACTCCTAGGGCTGAGAGAGGCTTCTATTTATAATGCTGTTCTTTAGTGTTGGGCATGTTCCCTTTCCTAGTGGCTTGTCAAGTTGCTGGTGGGGGAGGGAGTCCTACTGTGGCTGCCTGCTCAGTTGATAGTTATCCAAGATCCCCTTCTGCTAGCGACTGTACCGGGTGTCTCTGCTGCTACTAGCTTTCCACAACTTTATTCTCTTCTGCTGACAGTCATGAACAGCAAAAAGGCTCAAGTAACTCGGACGTGCTTGTTTTGTGTAGCCGACCCACCTGCAAAGTGGTCCCTCTTGGAAGGGGAGGGCGAGAAGCTCCAAAAGGACTAATCTTCCAGATCAACTGATGTTCAGGCCCGATTCCCATGTGATGGCTGAATGCTGGCTGCCTGTAGCTGGGTGCGAGCTCCTCGGAGAGCTCTGGCTGCCCTCCAGCCTAAGATGAAGTTTCACTTCCCCTTGTTAAGCTACAGGCAGTTCTGGTTCCACTGCAACAATCGGACTTGGCAACATGCCAGTCACTGTTTGGGACAAACTTGCTGGCTCTGCTTCTCCAAATTCTTACAGTTCAGGGGCCAAGCTTCCCTCTGACAACAGTCTGGGATTGTTCTTGCTGGGCTGGCACCACGGTTACTCATGTAAGAATGCATCCCTATTGTCTGCTTAAGTAGGACTCAGCTCTTGCAGAGCTGATTTCTGTTTGAACTGTGCTGGCTTTCTCTCTAGACCTGTTGACAGTGAGATAGGATGCCTGCCTACTGTTCACTTGCTGGCGTGCAACCCTTAGGGCTCCGCACCAGGCATGAAACTCCTGCCTTCCCCTGAATGCATCTTACGTGTGGGAGGGGCTCTAAAATATCTGCTCAGTCAGTAAGCTGCCTTCTCACTGCTGGGAGTAGGTCCTGCAGAGTGACTGTTGATGCCCTGGTGAATAAGCTGCCTCTGAATTTGTGACCCTGAGCGGAGCAGCAAAATCCCTGACAGAGTTGGCTTGTCATTGTTGGAGAGGATCAGACTATACAAAAGGATGTTAGTGGAAAGTACTAGTTGTGATCAGAAAGGAGCTATCAATGTTTACAACTGAGATTTGGATCCCTCTTTTGTTAATTGTCAAATAAAAACATATATTTTCTCACAGTGTGGAGTCTGTCATTATTTTTGCTCTAAACAGGAGGTGATGGACAAGTCAGGGTGTGCCTGAGTATCTGGTTTGTGTATGAAACATGGATTCTAGGGATGCATGCATTCATGTGTTGGGTGCTCAAGCACTTCCACTGAGTGTTGGCTCTAGCGCTTTGCTCCTAGGGAAGAAGCGTGTGTTATGTAGTGCGTAGAGCTTAGCAGTGCTGGTTAGAGAGCAGAATCAGGGCCATGTTTAACGTGACTAAGCTGTTGATTGCAGGAAAAACTGAGGAAGGGCTTAATGGGAAAAAGTTGCTGAAGAGCTGCAGGTAGTCCCTGCTGTAGGTGGAGCAAGCTTCAGACAAGGGCTTCCTAGAGGGTCCCTTTCCTTTCTCCCCAACTCCTCATGGGTGTAATGGGAGTGGTTTTTTACTCTGTCCTAGTAACTCCCTATTTTTAGACCATTAGTGTTATGCCCATGGTAGGCTGGTCTGGATTATGCTTGGCACTGCCCAGCTCAGTGACTTACTGAGCCAGTAGTGGCGTTGCCCACTCTGAAGTCCATGTGTGAGCCTGGTAGTACAGTATGGCACATGCCCTGCAGCTAATCTCAGGGGTGACTGATGCCTTGATGTGTCCTAAGGTGTTCAGCAGCCCCCTGTATCGACCAGATCCAGTTACAGAGCTTGTCATGTAGGGTTTACATCTGCACTGTTGCCCACAGTAGCCTTTCTTCTGGAAGGAGGTCTGGCCAAGCCCCAAAATCAGTGAAATGGGAGGAAATTATATATTGAGTCTCCAGAAGGTAAGAAGCATCTAGCTCCAGCCTTGCTGCTCTCGGCTGTCCTTAATCTCCCAGCTCAGCGTGGAAGGTGGCACCATCATCACGCATGCCAGTAATTAGATCCAGCATGGCATTCAAACTGTATCTTCATCTCTGTAATTAGCCTATCTCTGGTAGTACACTGGAGTTTCTACCCGGCCGCGCTGCTCCTCGGTAGCCGCTTGGGCAGCGCGGGTGTTAACTGCGCTATTTGAGATCATGCCGAATGAGAGAACAGGCTGTCTGTGCGGCTCCTCTTTCCATTTATAGCTGTGTTTAGGCGATCCAGCGCACGGACCCTTGTGCTCTGACGCCTGGTGCCAAGCACGAGACAAATGCTTCATTGATATGGACATACCGGGAGGGCAGTTTGCTCCCAGCGGAGCTGCGGCAGCCGGCTCGGGATGGAGCTGAGCTGCTGGAGGATGGCACAACCTCAGGCCTTTGCTGCGGAGAGCAGCTGGGCCTTTGGGGTGCGAGAGCCCGTCGTTCGCGGGGAAAGAGGCCGGCAGTGAGAGATGTGCAGCGTGCGGCTCGTTGTGTTTCATCAAACCCTCCTATCTTATCTTCTGGCCCTGGTTGCTGTCTGCTCGAGGTTCTGGCTTAGGGCGTAAAGAAGCGCAGATAGGATTTTGGCTTCTGTTGAGCGCTGGTTTGGGCAGGGGGGTCATCTGAAAGTCTTTTCCCTGTTTTTTTGATGTGGCCTGTGCGCTGTCTGTTCAGCCCAAAATGCAGTTTCTTGCAGACCCTAATGCCAGCGAAAAGGAGGCACCGCGGGAAGCTGTGTTTGTCGCCGACCGCCTTCCCCTCCTCCGACTTGTCGCATCCAGCCTAGACTTGGAAATGCGCGTTTTCCCTTCGAGCTGCC